CAATCAAATTTCAAACTTGATTCATTAAATATGTAGTCTTAAAGTGCCATTTTAAAATAAGATACTTCGAAGGTTTTGGTATAATGAAGAATGTCAGTTGTATTTTAGGATATAAATATTAGCTTAGAAGTGAAAACTGTCTTTTCTTACAAAACACCTAGATAATCCTATGTGTACGTATTGATTTTTGTTGATTAATTAGGTTATCAAATATCCCATTACCCCGTTTAAATTGGTTTTTTTCTTTGTATATTTATTTTAACTTAACCTGTAACTACCTAAATTTCTACAAATTTTGTAAATCACAATAAATTATATATATCATTTAAAATCATGAATTATGGCAACTTTTAAACAGACTAACAATTTATAAAAAATTTAAATATTTCAAAACCCATATGTTAGTTTGCAATATTAATATAATCTATATTTGTGTCACTTATTTAAAACATATTATTCGACGCACTTAAACAATCACTGAATTTTAAATTCACCCAATAATTCAGGCGCCTTAACTTGACCTTTTTGTATTCCGTCTACCATTTTTATAAGATCATAATTGATTTCTTGAGAAACTATTGAATCATGGTTATAATTTGGATGAGATCGCACAAAATTTCTTATCCACGTTGCTGCTGTCTGGATTTTACCTATAAATATAGTTGTAATTCGTGGATAATAAATTTATTAAAATTATCGGCAAAATCATATATTTAATTAAAGGAGATAGATTAAATTACCGCTAGCGCGCCCTCTAATAAATTCAAGGTACTTTCCCAAATGATACCTTGTTTCAATATCAATATTCATTGATTCGAGATATTGGAATATTATATTAATTAATCCCGGAAATTCTTTACCCTGTCATAACGTAGATGGCATGTACAGTAAGTCAATATCAATACAAGTATTAATAAAATTTGTAAAATGTAAAATACTTACATTACCATTTATAATTTCATTAATAGTCATTTGTTCAAGTTCGTCTTTATACAGACAAAATTAAATAATTAGTAATGTCAGCAACTTTAGCCATAGAAAAAGCAACTTTAATTATGCATCACAATCACATGATATTAAGTGCTTATTTATGGCAGTTTCCGCTATATAATTTATAATATATAGTTGCGAAGCAATCAATAGAGTTATTACCTTCACCTCCATCGCAATTTGCAAATATATTCTTTCTGAACCAAAAATTTTCAGTATTTAATGCATCCCTCTTATAAGCAATAACCATATTTTCATCCACCTAGTTAATAAATTTGTATTATTGTCATTGCTTTAAGTGTTAATAGCATACTTAATAACAAACCTTTGAGATTGGTATATAAAAATTCAAGTCATAACTAAGAATAATGCGAGTCAAAAGTACAATGAAAATTGCGAATGCAGAATTTTCAAAATCGGTTATTTGAACTTCCATACAACGAAATTCAACCCGCCAACCAATATTTGAGTTTGGTGGTGGAGGTTTGAAACGTACTGATTGCCAGTTTGTTGATTGAATGTTCTACAGCAAATAAATATCTCATTAGCAAAGTGCAATATAAATCAATTGTTATACATATTGTTATTACAACCTCAAAGTGATTTGATGACGATTCATCATTTTGATGCAATGATTCTTCAAGGACAACAAGAGGATCACGAATAAATAAATAAGACACATGGCGTGCCAAAAGCTCATCGACCCCTAAATGATAATTGACACATAATTAATTACACATATACGTACAATGCATGAATTTATAGCCATTAAAATTGAGAAATTATAAGTACAACATACCATTATCTACTAATTTTTTATAAATACTTCGATCATACACAGAATGTATATCGTTATACTCTGTCTTTAGTGTTTTATCAGATGATATATAATAAGCGGCTGAACCCGCACGTGACTTATTTATTACGAATCGATCATTTTTAAGAGGCTATGGTGAAAATAAGCATACAATAACAGTAAATTGTTAATAGTAAATTATTGATTAAATTTTAGAACAGATTTTATAGAATAAAAATAATATATGTAAATATGTAAAAATCTAACTTCTAAACCCCGTTCTTCTTTTGTACGATCGTCAGCAGCATTCATAAGTGCAAACCACCTACAATCCATATCGGACAGATAGCCCCGCCAAATTGGTGTTGCAGCAGTTAACGCCAACTATTAAGTGTATAATATTAAAAAATATACGATATAACTTTGTGATAATAAATACACAGTGTAATACCATTATAGGACTCAAAATTGCTAATTGATCATATAGTTTCCTAGCTTCTCTAATATTACAAGCTTGAATGGTTGTTTGCAGACAACAGCAACTCCCTCCAAAAGCAGTAGCATCCATATATATGTGATCTGGTAACGCTTCTTCACAGTCATGAAATAAATTTGAGCTTTTTTTATCATGAAAAATCGGAATATTGATAGCGACGTTTGATCCTCGACGATTTATAACACTATCACTTAATGCACTTGTTTATTTAACATAATTATATGTTATTATATAAAAATACGTGAACAAATAAGGGGAGAGTCAGTAGAAACACAACAAATTTTCTAAATAAATTTTTAAAGAAAATGACTCAACAATGGCTTAATCAATTTTAATTTTTTTTTAAAAAAATTAATTCTATAAACTTATAGAATTTATTCTATTTTATTTTTTAAAAAACAATATTTGTATAAATTTGATTAAGCTTTTGTTTAGGTATTTTCTTTCTGATTAGTTATTTTTCTTAAAGGTTTAAAAAATTAATTAAAAAGATTGGTGCGTTTCTACTAATTCACTCTCAAATATATTATAAACTACATACTGGTATCTTAAGTGAGGGTTCAGGATCTCATCTGGCACAAACAAACTTTTTAATTTAGGCCCAAATGGTTCATGATGAGGCTCTGAAAATCGACCCGGGCAGCCAAGACGTGGATAGTTGGATAAAGTAATTATACTTTCATTTGGGCCTAAATATTTGGATACAATTTTTCTTCTGAGTTTCATATTTTGCTCAACTCGAAGCAGGCTTTTTAAAGTATTCCCATAAGGGACACCAGGAATTCCTAATTAAAAATTCATAAATACCAAAATAATAATTTACTGTAAACAAATTTAAGTCAAGTAAAGCTGACTGACACCTTCGATCATAAATGCTGCGTACTCAGGTTGCCATAATGCTTCGATTGCTTCACTATAAAATATAATTTAATTAATAAGATCGCACAATTGATCCACTAGATATCGTTATAAACGTACTCTTTCTTCGATGCTTCCTCTGTTTCTTTTTGCAACTCGTGTAAAATGTCTGAAGCTTTTAATGATAGCTTTGCGTTCTTGTCTTCGTCATCATATGCAATTATCATATATTCGATCTACGTAAAGAAAAAATAATCATTGAACTATATAAATGATAAAATCAATTTAAATAAATTACCTCGTCACCCCATAATAAACAGTCCTTCTCTCTATTTTTTGTTTTATTATAAATTGATAAAAATTGTGTTATTCCTTGATTACGAATATGGTCAGCATATTTTTTCGCTTGTTCCCAAGGAAGAGGTTCGCTTTGAGAAAATAATCCCATTATTTTCAGGTTCAAATGTTACTAAGAGAGTTGAAAATTTATGGAAGTTGGCTATCTAAAGAGCGTATTTATGATACTGAGACGAAAAATTGCATGAATAACATGCATCTATATGTACGTAGGTTTATAATGAAATATTGATTGTCCAAATAACTTTCCATTTTCGCAATGAAAAACATATAGTGATTGATTCGAATTCATTGAAGTAACTGTGTAACTTATCGCCATGTATTGCGTTGCATAAAATAAAAATTTGATAAAATTCCTCGGCATTATAATGTGATCAACAAAATCAGAAAATTGTCGTAAAGTGCTTTCCGCTTCGTTCAAATAACATTAAACTGATCTAGGTTAGTTTGCCATTTTTACATCGTTGATCGATAAATTAATTACTACCTTAGATTTGAACAAATAATTTAGGTTTGTGATAGGATAGAAATGGAGTATACTGTATATCAAATTTTCATAAAACTTAGGTTTTTAAGTGAAATTTAAAGCCGAAAAAAAAAACTTTAAAAACCCAGGCTTATTCCACAGCTGCAACATCTATTGTTATTTATTGTGGAATTACTGTACGTGCCGCAGCTCTGGTTTTTGGAGATCGCATTTTATTGTTGCTATTATTGCGTTACACATGATCTTACAGCTTATGCCTGTTAGGGATTGGAACCGTTCTTCCCGCTTAATCGTTTAACCGTATTGCCCGTTTAATTCAACCGGTATTAAAATTGTCCTGGTCCATAATAATAATAAAAATAATTCAACCCGGTACTATAAATTTTTTTTTGTTGTTATATAAAAAAAGGAAATTAAAATACTGTATGTTACCGATAAAAGTACGTATTTAGAATAAAGTGAATCGATTACTTCTACCTGGGTCCAATTTTATTATTAAAATATTTACTTTTATTTGGTAATACAGTTAGTGATAATGCAGCATTGCCACAATTCAATTTACATGCCAAATCTAAAGGCACGAAAAAATTCTGTCTTGTCGATCATTTGTCACGATCCATACTGGTTATTCATAGAATAACGACTAGTGCTTCAACCACATCTGGCCCACAATCCAGATAAATTCAGATGTACGAATCTATTCGGATTGGTCAAAGAACTTAAATAACGGACCTAAGGATGTAGTTTTATTTATAATCTAATGGGGATTTGATAGAATCCGGATGGCCTGTCAAAAATCGGACCGAGACACTAGTAACAACTGGTTTGGGAGATCAACGTACAATGTAGCTCCAGTCAATACTGGAAGTTATATGGGATACATGATTTCTAATGAGCATAGTAATTCAGGTGAAGACTTAAGGAAAGAAATTCATTACGATTATGCTACTTTACAATGAATCGGGGTTCTTCCTTTTTATTATTCATTTTTATACATTTTGTAATATGCCTGCTATATTACGTCAGAAGCATCATGCTATTACATTGCCTCATTGGGGTGTTTCATACTAAATGATTTACTATCATAGTGCAGCATTATATGATTGGCCTACTAAGTAAAATTTTTGA